ATTACGGCCCAGACATGATACCCTCATGCTTTCTAAAAAATAGTGCCAAATATATATACTTGCCTTTGACCAGGATATTAAATTCCTTTCTTAAACACGGTATATTTCCTTCAATATGGAAACAGTCATTTATAATTCCTTTGCATAAAAGTAATTTTAGGTCCAACATTGAAAACTATAGAGGTATCGTAAAACTATCAGTTATACCTAAACTTTTTGAAGCTATTATCACTGACCATATAACCTTTTCGATTTCTCCGTTAATTTCCTTATCTCAGCATGGATTTCATAAAAGGAAATCGACTCTAACAAACTTGTTTGAATTTGTAAACCATGTATTATTGGGTTTTAGGGAACATAAGCATACGGATGTTATATACACAGACTTTAGCAAAGCTTTCCATAAAGTAAACCTCTCGATTCTCATACATAAACTTGATCTGCTGGGCTTTAAGCCAAGATTTCTTCAATGGGTAGCTTCCTATATTTATAGTAGAACGCAACGAGTGATATTTGAGGATACACCTTCAGATACAATTAATGTTTCTTCAGGTGTTCCGCAAGGTAGTCACCTTTGGCCCGATTCTCTTCAGTAATTGAATTCTCAAAAATTTTATTATACGCTGACGACGTAAAGCTTTTTAAATCATACACTTCAACTGAGGAAAGGTGTCTGTTGCATACAGAATTAAACAATATGGTTGCATGGTGTGATAGAAATGATTTGCCATTGAATCTGAATAAATGTAAGACGATGTGCTATGTAATAAAATACCATATTCTGGAGCAAGTGTTTAACTATGTTGAGTTAGGAGTTAATATGGACCCTAAGCTTAATTTTTGTGTTCATATTGACACCATGGTCTTGAAAGCAAAAGCTGTCCTCAGTTTTGTTAAAAGTTGGCCTAAAGAATTTAGAGATCCGTATATTACTAAAACACTTTATACAACTTTGGTTAGACCTATATTGGAATATGGCTCTGTTGTATGGAACCCTAACTACCAAATCCATTCTGACATGTTAGAGTCTGTTCAAAAACAATTTTTACTTTTCGCCTAAGCGCATTTCCGATGAGATTCTAAGTAAGTGTATGGAGGTAACACTAGTCGTTTAAAACTTATTAATCTACCTACACTTTCTAGTCGTAGGGAAATGCTTGGCATAATATTCTTAGTGAAAATCTTGAATGGAACAGTTTGCAATTCTTTTCTCCTGTCTGAAAATAAATTTAATATTCCGATTCGCTTTTCGAGGCAGTTTAGACATTTACTGTTAAAATCCTGTAGATTATATATTACGAGCCATTCCGCTGTATATGTCATGATTTAAATTCTCATTTCAGCACATTTGACTTATCTGACTCACTTTTCAAAATTAAAAAGACTTTATTGTTTTCTCTTAACGAATGAAAACGTAACAATTTATTATATTGTAACTATAAATCTTAGCTGTTGAACTTTTTGTTTCTGTAGCTGAGCAGTTTTAGATCTCAACACTTAAAAAACTCGCTTGCTTTTTCTGACTCGGCTAATTTCGCACGTATGCGGATTGCGCACCTCGCGTCGGTTGGGCGGGAGGAGGGTAATCGTTGGGTTATTATTAAAAAACTAACAAATAAAATAAACCTGCAAAATAAAATTGCTTTCTCCAGCATCAACTCCATTACATAAAACTAAAATACATATCATCAATTTGCTCCAAAAATCGCTTCCTACACTTATAGCATGAATGGCGCGCCCTCGTCTACTCCACCAGCAGCACGACGAGATGCATATGAATAACATATACAGCCAATATGTGTAATACCAGGCAAAATATTCGCCTAAGGGGCCCAAGATGTATAAATGAGCTAAAGTCAGTACATCACTCTACACATACGCCCCCACCTAAGCCACATGGATCAAGCGCACTACGTCTAATTGGATTAGACTTATTCGACAAGACAGCGAGCCTGTACGAAACGTTAACGCAATACAGTAACGATCCTGAGCGACAATTTGTTTTTAACATCGGCTTCTATATATTTAATATATAATAATAACTTTTAGCTATGTAAACCTAATATTAACAAGTAAGGAAGGGCTAAGTTCGGATGTAACCGAACATTTTATACTCTCACAAAGTCAAATGGTATACTCGTTTTAGATTTCTTTGTGGATCTTGCCGCCTTGTTCTATGTTGACCGATATTTTCGGTAATGATGTTATATGGGAAATAGGCATGGCTGTAATCCGATTTCGCCCATTTCTGTACTATAACAAAGAAATATGAGAAGAATATTATGTATCAAATTTGGTTGAAATCGGCTAAGCAGATCCCGAGATATGGGTTTTCACCTAAAAGTGGGCGGTGCCACGCCCACTATCTAATTTTGAACGTGGTTCCTATAAAATAATCTTATAAGATCCCAGAGATAAAATTTAATGTCTCTGGCTTATTTAGTGCTTGATATATCGCACTTTTAGTAGTTTTTAACAGTACCGTTATATGATAGATAGCTTTTAACTGTACCGTTATATCGATAGAGATGCTAAAAACATGTGTTCCCAGTGAATTTTGTTATTATAGATTCAGTGGTATAGGAAATATGCACATTAAACTTTTTAGGGGGCGGGACCACGACCACTTTAAAAAAAAAATTTAACTGCAGATGCACCTCCCTAATGTGATCCTGCATACTAAATAAGAGTCTTGTTGTGGAGCTTAGTTATGGCAATTTATTTGTTTTTGATTTATGGCGTTTTGTGGGCGTGGCAGTGGTCCGATTACGCCCATCTGCAATTCCAACCGTTTAAGTTACAGCACAGACGGACGGACACACAGTCACCCGGATTTCAACTCGTCTCTTCATCCTGATCATTTATATACATATATATAATATAACCCTATTACTAACTCGATTAGTTTTAGCTGATATAAACAACGGTTAGGTGAACAAAACTATTATACTCTTTAGCAACAAGTTGCGAGAGTATAAAAAGTAATGCAAATAAATTGTGTAAATCCCAAACACTCGAGAGGTATGCTCCCAATAAATTGGGTGCACCAATTATATTAAATATATGTTTTCTGTTAAAAATAAAAAATCGATTTGTACTCAGTAAGAAATAGATAATTTTCAAAGCTTAGATAGTAATTATGAAATAAACGACCAATTCATCACTAAAAATAATAGATCAATACACAAACAAAAACCCTCGGAAATTCGAAGTTTCGTTTTTAATTTCAGAACATTTAATAAATTGCAAACTCTGATTCCAATTTCTGGAAATTCCAATTACTGAAGGTTTTAATTCGTGCGATGTGTTCGAACATAAGAGATGTGTTATTTTTTACTTTTATGATATAAGAATATCACATACTAAAGGCGATTCATTGATTCAGATGCAGCATTATCTCGCATCCTACGCAGACCCGACGAGAGGTGAGGGCGATTGGTAGTAGGGGGTGATTCCGCCCGGGCACGGAGTCTCAGAAAGGGCCGTATTTTTCAAGAAATTAAATTAATAACTAATAAGTAAAGAAGAGCTAAATTCGGGTATAACCGTAATATGTTCAAATATCAAAGCCCGGGAAATTCCTTCAGTTGCTGGCAAAACTTTATATTATAATTCGGGTGTAACCACATTTCACGCTCTTGCAACTTGCCAGGATCAAAGTTGGTAAAATATCTTATGCACAACCATAGACTGTTATTAGAAAAACACGTTCTTACAATTTCATTAAGATAACTCACATATGGATCGAAATATGCGGACCGGAAGTTCGAAAATCTTTCTATTAGGTATATTAGGGCTAGGGGAATTATTGATCCGAATCAAACTATTTTTGACGTACAGACATGACATATTATTATTACAAAAGGATTATTTTCGAATTTGTATAAAATATCTCACAGATTGACTGATATTTGCAATAAAAAGTTCGAAATAATAACTGAGGCCAACATATTCGGTATCTGGGGGTTTAAACAGTTTTGCTCCGATGTGGGTAATTTGACCATAAGGTGGCATATCTCAAAAGCACTATTCGTGTAAAGTTTTATCTGGATCCATTGATTGATTCTTGATTTGTAAAATGAAATGTGAAAGAATCAGAGGGAATTTAAAATTGTGTTATATAAAAAGTAGGCGTGGTTTTTTTCTGATTTCGACCATTAAAATATTAAATTTTGACCCACCTTAACGGTTTAAATAAGGTGGAAAGACGGAATCATTTTATGGGATATTGCATTTATGTATTTTGACATTGCTCAGATATACTCAAGAACACATTTTGAAGCAATTTTATATATAAGTAATACTCACTTATCAGTATAAAACTTGTTAGGATAACGAAAATCATTATAAGTAGTATATGGGGGTTTGGGGTTGTATTGAGTAAAATACGCTCTATTATTATCTTAATTGGTGCTTTGTTTGTATACTGGAATGTAAAAGAATCAGATGAAATTTAAAATTGTGTTATATGGAAAGTAGGAGTGGTTGTAGTCCGATTTCCTCCATTTTCGCACTGTAAGGATAGGATTCGTCAAAAGAATATTATTCGTAATGTAATGGTTGAAATCGGGGCAACAGGTCCCAAAATATGTGATTTCATCTAAAAAAAAAGGTGCCCATTGCCCAATTTTGACACCGGCTCCTATTTTGTGCCATCCTGGATGTAAAATTGAATGTCTCTGACATATTTAGTTATTGATTTATCACACTATCGTAAGAAGAGCTGAAACAATTTGTCCTGTGCAAATTTTTTTGATGTAGCTAGTTATGGCAATTTATTGGTTTTCGATTAATGGCGATTTGTGGGCTTAGCAGTATTTTAGAGTTTTTCGATGTTGCCTTTCTTATTCTATAAGTATGCCGTCACCGGAACTTGGATAGTGCAAATTTGTGTATGTAATTCTTATTCACATCTGTCACAGCCTAAATCGAAAAAAGTAATAGTAAATACTTGGTGTAATGTCTATCCAATCATTCTTGTTTTATGATCATTATCAAACCTGTTTACTTATTTATTTTTTGTCAAATATCCTTTAATGGTAAGCATTCACACTTCACAAATTACTTCACTTTTATATTATCTGCGGAAACTATTATAGTTATTTAACAACAGTGTGCCTGAATGGACGTATGGTGTTTAAATGAATATATTGACTTTCTGCAAATTACATCAAAATTAGTAACATATTGTGTCTGAAGCAAATGTTTTCTAGCGGTATGACTTTATATCCGAAGCATACAAAAAATGTTGGTATATTTGTGAACAATACTCAAAAATATTAGTTTTCGCTCTTAATTTTTTTAAAAATGTTGACTTTGCTAATCTTGGTTGTGAGAGAAGGAGCAGCTTATTTGTGATTTCTTATCACTTTCGATCGAAGACCATCTGCAGTAAACTAAATACATAAGTATATATTAAGCAAATGTATGCCATTTTAAAGACTGATCCATCTTCCAACTAACCTACTTTTTTATAATCAACTATTTTGCCAAGATATGTCGCATAATGGTTCGATTTATATTAATAATATTAATATTTGGAACAATTAATATATTGTATTAATATTATTTATAACAAAATGTTGTACCCCTTATCTAAAATATACTTGTACGAAGCATCATCAAATATAGTATTAATTTTAATATACATAAATTAACGCTAATAGGAAATAATTGAGGTATTTTATATCACATGGTTTTAACACTATTTTGGAGAGTTTATTTGAATATCAAAAAACTTACACTTGAATGAAGACGATTTTACCAGAGAATGTCAATGAATAGAGAAGGAGCAAATGTTAAATTAAATCTTTTTGAGTACTAATTTGTAGTTCCAGATGAGGGAACATCGAAAAATATAACTTCGAAAAATAAAAATACACCACGCAATGTGCGAAACGGAGAAAAGGCTATAAATAGACACAACGAATGAATAATCGGTGAGCATACCTATTTAGATTTGTGTTTTCAATTTCAATGATATGACGAAAATTAAAATTGTGAAAAGCCTTTTGAATCAAAAAGGAGGATTACTGGCAAAAACCCCAGAATTCATAATAAAATAATCTTTGATATGCAATTTTTCCAACTTTTGTATATGCGTTGCGTAAGCAATATACTTATTAAACAAATGATAATAATAAAACTGTGGCTAAGCGGCCGCGTTTCCACTTTTGTGGTGGCTTAGCTCGTATTCGGAATGAGCTTAACTCCTTCGCGCTTACGACCTAAGCCAC